AGCTGAAGCATATTGTCATTGCTCAAGTATATAGAGTATACCAATTGTATTGTACTTTCTTAAGTTGCAGCAATATTGATATTTACAATATTCCATGCTACAGGAAAAAGGCCGAAAGGTGAAAAGGGTTGAGCTTACTTTTTACTTGAACGAGCACATAAAACGTAATTTGCTTATCATGGACAGCAAATTCTACTTGCAATGCCTTGGCATTCCCCAAGGAAGTATTTTATCTTCTCTGCTATGCTCATTCTACTATGGACACCTTGAAAAAAAGTTTATTTTTCCCTTTCTTGAGAAATCTTGTAAGCCTACCAATGGATGTGAAGATGAAGTCATACATGATGAGCCAAAGTACCTTCTTCTTAGGTTCATAGATGACTTTCTTTTTATATCAACCTCTAAGCTCCAAGCTTCTCGTTTCTTGAGCCGATTGCATAGAGGATTTCGTGAATTCAACTGTTACATGAATGAAGAAAAATTTGGAATGAATTTTGACATAAACCATCTATTAAACTTGAGATCCAATAGACTGTATGTTGGAGATGATGGAATCTCGTTTCTTAGATGGAGTGGATTATTTCTTAACTCTCAAACTCTGGAAATTCAAGCAGATTATACAAGGTTATTTTCTTGCTCCCATCAGCAATTTTTCTGTTTATGTATGACATGTATTACCCCTCACCCCACCCCACCACCACCACCACAAAAAAGGAGTTCATGTTTCTCAAAGGTACAACTATTGGAAACGGTAAAATTTGGTGGTGGTGTTGTGGTACTTTTGAGTAGGGGTATGGTCTGTGTCCATACCCCACCCCCCAAGACCCTACTCTCGTGGGATTCAACTGGGTTGTTATAGTGGTTAATTTTGGAGTTATTTGTTGCTGACAAGCATACATTGCTTATGGAGGCTGCGGCCCAAGCCCCAAGTGTTAATTGTTTTTTGGTCTTCTGTTTCCATCAGGTATCTGAATACCCATTTGAGTTCAACCCTAACTGTTAGCTGGGAAGGTAAACCAATTCGCGAGTTAAAGTCTAAGTTGTGTTGCTATCTGCGCCCCAAGTGTCATCCCATATTTTATGATTTGAATATAAACTCGGCTGCGGTGGTCAGACTTAATATCTATCAAGCTTTTCTGCTATGTGCCATGAAGTTCCACTGCTACATCTCTGATCTTGCTAGCATTGTAAGGTTAAACACCAAGTCCTATTATGATGTTCTGGAAACTTCTTTGAGGTAAGCATTTTTTATTTTATATAATGACTCCTTACCATAGTTGTGAATGGCGAGTGGCGGGCGAGAGGTCAAATGGCGAACATTATATAAATAAATAAATATATATATATATTAATATATATAAATATATATTGTTTAAGTCTAAACTTTTAGTCTTAACTTTTAACTATTGTACAAAAAAATGAAAAAATATATCTATAAGAAATTAAGAATATAATAATACACATAGTGAAGACAATAAAGAAACAATAAGCATTCAAAAATAAAACAAAAATAAAACAAAAATAAAAACTCTGACCTGCGAAGTGGAGCCTGGACTTTGCTTGCGCCGGCTCTCACTCTGCGAAGGAGCCCGCTGTTTGGACTCGGGAGAGAGAGGAGGGGCTGCGCCGGCTGAAGAGAAGTTGAGGAGGGCAGGAGGCTGAGCCGGATGATGAGAAATTCGATCGGCGAGAGGCAGAGGCAGGTAGTTGAATCGATACAAGGAGAAGATATTCGGTCGGCGCAGCGCGTTTAAAAAAAGTCAAGGTTTTCAATAAAAAACCCTTGACCTGCGTCTAGCGTAGATGGCGAACGCCTTTAGCCACAGAGTATGGGGTAAATGGCGACCGCCATAGGCGAGAATGGCGTAAAATGCCACGCCAGGTAGGTCAGAGAATGGCGTCACCTGGTCGCCACAAAGCCATGACAACTATGCTCCTTACCCACACCCAAAACAACGCACAAAGTGGTATTGTGAAGAACAATTATAAGTTTATCCGATCATATCATATTTTCTTTAGAATATTTTCAACAAATGAGAAATCATATTTGGTTGGTCATATTAATGGACATGACAATGACAAAGTCGATATAAAAAATACCAGATATAATGAAAACCAACCATTTTTAGTTCAAACATGACTTGTTCTGCCAAAAAATATGGTTTTTTTTATAATATTTTCCCCTGCTTAATGTCGTTGGCTTTGACATCTTTTAGGTATATGAAGAAGCTCATAAAGGGCAGTAGGAGGATTAGTACAGATTTTCTGCCAATTATTGAAGTGGACAAGGGAGAAATTGAATGGCTCGGCGTGACTGCTTATATTAGAGTATTGGCGAGGAAACAATCGCGTTATAGGGAATTACTACCCTTACTGAGGTCCAAGTTAATGGCACTTAGAACCCCAGAATGCATGTCTCCAGCTCTCAAGTATGCCACTGATGACCTACACTCCTCTGTGCTTTGGAAGATCAGGTACTGATATCTGCAGCAAAAAAGTAATATCAAGCAGGGGTAAAGGTTTATGCGGGGTGGGATCCTCTGTCCCCTCCCCCTATCCCAACTCCTTGCCCCCCCACTCATTTTTTGACAAATCATCCACCCCACCCCTACCCATATGCATATGCCACCCCCATCCCACCACCCCTCAAACGTGGGGACGTGGGATTATATTAATTTTGGGGTGGGGTGGATGATTTGTCAAAAGATGAGTGGGGGGACAGGGAGTTGGGACACGCTGTGGGACAGAGGATCCCGACCCGGTTTTATGCACACCGCAACTGGATTTGCTGCGTTAAGTCTTTCATTAGAAGAGGTGATCATAAGATGTGGTTCAATTCACATAAGAATGGAAAGCATATGTTATCTTTACTAGTTAAACCAACTGTTTGTTCTTTTGTTTGGCGGTTGTGGTGGTACAATCATATTACACTTTGATTATCACTCTCTTTTGGCTTTTAAGTTCAATTTTTATACTGTCTTTGTCTCTAAATATTTGTTCAGTTTTGACTTTTTGTAGTTAATCACTTTCAACTTTTGACTAAAAACTAAATAAAATTTAAACGGTATATTAATTAGATAAAATAATATTTTGAAAATATTTTATAAAATAAATCAAATAAAATTGTTTTTGTATCAATATTTAGTATCAATTTTATTTAATTAGTCAAAGTTTGTCAATTTTGACTGTAAAGTGTTAAAACTAGACAAATATTCTGAGAGAGGTAATACAATATGACCAATGCTGGTGTAAAGTGTACAAAGTTTACTAAATGAATGTTCCGGCAAAAAAATATCAAAAGATGAACTATTTCATTAAAATTGTTTTAAATTACACTCTCAAAAGAATTGAGTACAATCAATCCTTTGTGGCATTCAACACTTCTTTTTTGTTTTTAAATACAAAATTGACCATTTGCAAATCTGTCAAAGCTGAATATTTTCTGATGACAAATGTATTTCTCCCTCTTCCCAAATTAGGGTTAGTTCCAATTTCAACACCAAAGGATCCAAAATATTGTGGGATGTATTTAGACATCTCATTTAGAAACACAACACATTAATTCAAACAAATGTGAGTCAAATAGAACTCCGTAAGATAATAATCCTGATATGAAAATGACTAAAACATATGATTTCCATCTTATCCAAAATTATAATTTTTCATTTGTTCGTTTCTATCCTCCTAACCTCTTCCCTAAACTCCCACCGCACCCCACACTAGTCCGATCCCTGCGCCCACACCGTGGACCCCTATTTACCTCCTCCATATGTATGGGAGGAGGGGGTTCTGAGGGTAAGTTAAGGGAGTAGGAACCATTAATTTTGTGAATGGAATACCAGAGGTGCTTCAAAAGTGCAGTGACACTGCTAGTGACACCATTAGCCCCTTGAACTTATACTATCATTAAAAAAAGAAAAAATGAAAATGTATGTTATAGTCTATATAGGAGATAGATAAATTGGATCATTCTATTTTTTTAATCCCTTAGTAATATACGGAGTATCTTTTTCCCATTTTTTATTCTTGTGGTCAACTGAAGGACTAATTGAGTACACATTGTTTTTCTATTTTTGTTATCAAACAAGTTATGCTAGAAAAGACATCAAATGCTTCATTGTTTGTGATGTATAGGAAATCATTATATGTATATTTCTGAGAAATTTTTTATTATCTAACTAGGTGAATTTTAATCCGTGTTGATTGGATTGACCCGAGACCCCGATCGGTGGATCTACTTCCAACATTTACTCCATCCGTCCAAAATGTTTACCACATTACACAAAATAAAGCAAAATTTTAAGTTTCAATTCATTTTATATGAAGATTGGTTTAGAAATAAAATATCTCGTATAAAATTTAGATATTTAAAATTTGCGTCAATTTTTTTTTAAAATAAGAAATGACAAGCATATTTTATTTATCAAATAATCGAAAAAAACGTTCAAATAAATAAAAAATTCTTGTGATTTTTGAAGGGAAAAATACCTTAATAAAAGTAAAACATGGAGAAAGTATTAAAATATAAATTTTACTCCCTCCGTCTCGAAATAGATTACAATATTCTCTCACATTTTTGTCCCAAAAAGAATTACAAAGTCAATAACTTTACAAGGAATTGACTCTTTTACCCTCTCACTCCTACACTATTCACACACTATTCATCCATGTGAGTGGGCCACTTGGGGGTAATTTGGGGAAAAAAAATTTGATTTGACTCTTCCTTAATTTCAACAAAAAGGGAATATTGTAATCTAAAGTGAGACGGAGGGAGTATATGATTTATTTCCAAAATAAAAGTTACAATGCTAATAAAATCAACATATAATATCAAAAAACATTATGAAATTCAAAAAAAATATACAGAACTCCTACTTTGAGATAAGAGTTATGTTTCACTCATATTTGGATAATTTTTTATATTTGAATTCTTTTTTTTGGACGTAAGAATAATTTGCTTTTATGGTTTTCGATTCGCTAAACTGCGTCTTAACGGCTCAACCGAGTCACTGCCACAGTACTGGTCTAATCTAACACCGTATTTTCTGCTTTCGTCCTCAAGCCTCAAACCCTTGTTCTTCTTCTTCAGATCGTCCTCTCATCGGCGAACGGTTCAGCTTAGGATAAAGCGCAGCTTCCTGAAATGGCGGCAATCGCAGGACGCGCTGGTTCGGCGCGATTATCTCTCCTCCAAAAGCTCTTCACTTCGGCCCAGAGATCTACCGATCAGCGATCCCTTGTCTGCGCTACTGTCTCCAACCCCGTGGTAATACCAAGATCTATCAATGAAATGGTGATCATATTTTCATATAAAATTTGATATTGTTCGATTTTCTGTTTTTGATGTTTTTTTTCCGATACTTTATTTGAGTACCGTGCTTTGGATATATAGTTTCTGCTAGATGTTGTAAATGCATTTTTACCATTTTGGTTCCCCAATTGGCCCTGAGAGATCTTAAATCTGTTTGATTTGTGTTTCGGGCAACCATTTATCAGCTGGAAAGAGTGCTCAGTTGCTTTTTATGAAGACATTGTTTTTTCTTTAAATTTGGGACAATGCAATCGAAGAAAAGAATAGCTACTCAAGTTGTTGTCTGGGCTTAACAAATTGCAAATATTTGTAATGTGGATTAACGTTTTAAACAAGGTTCCCACAATTTAAATTCCCAGTTATCTTTCCAGATTACCTTTAAGAAACACCTTCTAATTATCATTTCCCTCTCTACCAATAGGGCGGAGGTGAAGTCGGTGCACAGTATTGTTTGTCTCTCTCCCTTTAAGAAACACCCTCTAACATCTTTTGACAGACCCTACTCTTGAGTTTGAAGTCCTGGGTTAGGTTTGTTTGCCAATCAGACTATAAGAAAAACAATCATCTGGGAAATTGTCTATTCTTCCTATCATTGTTGATGGAACTTAATCTGTACTCTGTTATTTATTGCATGAAAGTTGAGCAAGCTACTTTTGGTTGGAATGTATTAACGATGAATTGCAAATAAAATGTGAATACTATTGGTTGTGATATTTATCGATGCTCTATGCAAATAGCCTCACAGGCCTGATTCACAATGTGCTCTGTTACTGTAAACAAGTGTTTGAATTGCTTTGTGTCTTTCTTGCAGCTGTTGAGAAACTATGCAACTACCCCTGTTTCAAAAGAACAAAAAGTTAAGGTATGTTGTCATGATGTGATGAACTATTCCAATCAAAGACAGTGATACAAGTAGATACGACTGTGTTACTTTATCATGAGATCTGTGATATAACACCGCCACACTGGATTTATGCATTCATAGACTTGAATCTTTCTGATAACTCTTAATGCTCTCCCATATGTATTTGATCATCTTCCACCTTGTAACGATATTTCAGGTGCCCTTGAAATTGTATGGGGTTTCTGGGAATTATGCCTCTGCTCTTTACCTTGCAGCAGTGAAATCCAACGCGCTGGACAAGGTTGAGTCAGAGCTTTGTGACCTCATTGATGCTTCAAAGAAAAGTCCTACATTTACACAGTTCATGAATGATCCATCTGTACCTGTTGATACTAGAATGAAGGCCATGAAAGATATTTGTGCCCAAGCCAAATTTGGAGATGTCACTAGGAACTTCTTGTGTATGACTCCTTGATATTGTTTAGAATTTTTGACTAATTTTATGTTTGTGTATGGCGTGTTATATTTGAACTCTGGTTACTTGCATTTATTCTTTGCATATTGTGATGACTTGAATTTCTGTAACTCTTGTTTTGTTGGGCTGTTGCGGGTGTTTTGGAGGAAAACGGGTGAGGTGATATTCATTTATCAAATTTATTCATGCATTTTGATGCTTGGAAAGGAAGTGAAGTTGAAAAACTATATAGGAATACACAACTTAACTAAATATATGCGAAGTAGTTATTTTCTAGTATATATAAGTAAATTCAAAATCTATCCCTTGCTCTCTTTCCTCCAATGCCCCACAATCTAACAAACCCTTTGCCTTGTGCATATCCAGGTGGTTCTCATGCTGTCTGCATTCTGCTCTTCCTTTTTTTGTTTGTTATTTTTATACTGTTAGTTGTCTGGTACAGATGTTGGTTATTAACTTACATATCAGGAGTATACAGTGACATCAGGATAAATGTATATAAAATTTGATCATTTGAAAGTGTTAACACTATATGATGCTAAGACTTTAGTGGTTAGGTGCTTATCAATTTATTTGTTTTATCTTTTGACCATATAAAGGCTACCAGACTAGTAATGCTCTCTTTGTTTCACTTGTCTAGTTGTTTTGTCTGAAAATGGGAGGCTGAAACAGCTTGACCGCATTGTGAAACGATTCAAAGAGTTGACTATGGCACACAGGGGAGAAGTCAAAGCCATTGTGACATCAGTGATTGTGAGTTTATATTCTTGGGTTCCCAATTACATCTTTCTAGAGTGCATTTTTAGTACAGGAAATAGTTTGTTGCGTGAGTAATATTTTTGAGATGTTGTAAGTTTTTGTAAGAGTGATGAATCAGAAAAGGGTATTGAAGCCATTACGTAGAGCAAAAGGAAGTTGTAACTATTAATTAATTCTTTGTAAACAATTAAGTGTGCCTTTGGAATCAAGCTGGGCCGTTGGGGTTGCGAGGCCTAGCCCAAGCAATATTGGCCTAACAAAATATAGGAAAAAATAGTTTCCACAAGATTTAAATACTAGACCATATATTTCATATAAATCTGATATAGATGATTTGAAAATCTACCGAAAGCTAAGAGTTTCAACTTTCTTAAGAGACCCCTCTACACCATTCATGTTTTAAGTTCCGGGCTTTGGGCTTTCATGGTCTTAATTGTCCTCCAATGTCATCTTTTAATTTTGAAGATAACATTAGATGAGTTATGAGTAATTATATGTGAAGCACTAATACTTGGTTAGATTCATCAAATGAGACTTTAAGAAGCTTCATTAACATAACTACTTTTGTTTTGATTTAGTGGTCAGGGAGACAAATTGCATCAATCATATCATATATTGTATGTAATATGTTTAAATTATGTTGTGTTGTATTGATATTGCTATTGGAAAGCAAATTTATGGTAAACGAGTTCATGTATATAATTTTAGACTAGTTAGAATTTTGACATTTTAGGATTTTATTTAATTAATTAGTTTGTAATTTTCTGTGGTTTTAGTCTATATTTTCATTCACAAGATTATTTGGCTTGTGTAATGATATGAGTGTTACTAAAAAAGTTGTTTAAACAACTTGTGAGATTTCTAGATTAACCAGGGCAAATCTAGATGGGTTCTATTTGTACCCTCCTTCTTCACAATGAATGGGCGGATAAAGGACCAAATGTGGAGAAAACATGAAAGTCTTAGCAGAATTGTGGTCCCTGAATGTCAAAATGGCTGAATACCAAATGTTGTAAAATAGGGAGTTGTTAGGAGGAACAAGGAAGAGTAAAAATTCACCTTTTAACCATTGTATGGAATTGTATATACTTTGTGTTTCATGTCATGTTTCTCCTGCAGCCCCTTCCTGCAGAAGAGGAGAAAGAATTGAAAGCCACATTGCAGGACATGGTTGGACGTGGGAAGTCCATTCAAATCGAGCAGAAGGTATGCTACACTATTTTTCTCTAAAACACCTGTACAAAGCAGAACTGTTTTTGTTTTTTAGTTCTTATGGAAATCTATGTCTTGATGACAGATTGATCCAAGCATTCTCGGTGGTCTTGTACTGGAATTTGGGCAGAAAGTTTTTGATATGTCGATAAAGACTCGGGCCCGCCAGATGGAGAAGTTCCTTCGCGAACCCATCAACTTTTGATTGCCCTGCCCTTCCCGCAATCTTCTTGCTTTCAAGGTGTTTTCTGTCCTCTTACAAAAGAAAGCTCTATTTCACTCTGGGCTCCTTAAATCTTCCCTTTTTAATGTTCAGTTTTATGACAAGATATTCTTATGCTGCTGTTTTTTAGCAAATAAAAAATGTTGGTTTTTGTGCGGATTTTCTCGGACGAAGAAAACCTCAAATTAGATGCCTTTTGATGCCAAAATTTACAGAAGCAGCATTTTGCTCTTCAAAACGAATAATAAAACTACTAATGACTCGATCAAGTGTGCTGGATAACTTCTGTGTATGGGTTCCCTATCTTTTTTTTTTCTTTGGGTTTTGCTTTTATTAACAGTCTGCATTTTCCTTGCTGGGTTATTTAGTTCTGCTTTTGATAAAATTGAGGTCTTGTGTGGCAATCAAAGGTCAGCAATTGTATTAGTGGGTTGCTGCTTTGTTAGCTTTTTAAGCCTTCCTGACTACAAACAGCCCAAAAGTCAGCCAAAGACACTTCAAAGTGCCTTCCACAATGACCTCTAGAAACTACAAGACACCCCAATGCAAGTGCTAGGAACATGTTTTGCTTCTTGTCAATCACATTGAGATCATAACTTTATTAATCTCTTCCTAACCGGGCTGTCGCTCGAGAATTTCGGGAGTTGGAGTACCTCCAAAACAACTTCTACCCGCAATAAATTACTACATAATAGGATGTATTTTAAACATTATAGGTGGAAGTAAAAATATTCTACGAGGTGCGCAAAAAATTAGGACAGAAGTATTTTCAAGAATGGAGGGATTATCAAAAGTTACGGAGGTGCGCAAAAAATTAAAGACATACGAATATATATATGCAAAAGTTACGGAGAAGCTCAAATATTTCGTAATAAAAATGTGAATTCTTTTGGGACGGACAAATAGAATATATAGAGTATATGGAATCTTTTTTCCCTTCGATTATGATGAGAAAAGGAAAAAAAACAACTAAACATACACATTAGATTCATTCTATAGACTTTTCTCCTCGGGCTCAACTTGCTTTCTATAGCTTCTTGAGGAAAAAAAGAGTTGAATGTACAAATAGTCCTTGTGATTTTTCATAAATAGATAAATAGTTACTATACTTTTAAAAGTTGTAAAATAGTCTCTGTGATTAAAGAACTGATGCATGATTAGTTCCTTCTTTAAGGAAACGTAAAGCACACAGAACATAGGCGTACTGTATAAAAATGTGAAGCATGTAACAAAAAAGGTTTATCTCATTAAATTGTCCTCGTCTTCGTGGTTAAAGGCAATGAATGGTCTTCTTCTAGCTTTTTTCTCACACAATTTTACCTTAGAATAAAGTTTCTTGAAAAATAAAATGATATCGAACTTACGTAGGACACCGTACCACGATTCAATAATATCACAATATATCAGAAGAGACGGAGTATTCGTCGTAACTGGTAAGAGTTAAACTAAATGATGGAAGTTTTAGATTTACCTTATTTACTGTTACATGATTGACGTATTTGCATAATACGCGTGTGTTGTATACATTTTACGAATTTTCTAATATAGGGACTAATTATGCTATGGTTGTTTGACCACAAGAATTATCTAACAACTTTTAAAAATTTGAGGATTATTTACCTACTTATGAAACACCACAGGCATATAACTAAAAAAACCAATTCATTCATCAATTCTATACGTACTAACTAAACTTCACGAAAATGTTAAGTTATTTTTCTTTCTACTCGTATTTTCCAAAACATTTGACTTTACTCTATTCATTCCAAACTGATTCTAGTATTAAAAAATTAATTTTTTGGTACATTATTTTTTTATGGTGGACAAAGTTCAACTTTTTATACATAAACTATAATCATACACTTCTCATATTTATTAGTTAATATATTAAAAATGATTTAAAAAAGAGAAAAGTGCACCGTTTACCCTCGAATTCTTTGAAAATTGCACGGTTCACCCCCGAACATTAAAAAGTGCACCAAATACCCCTGAATTCTTTAGTAATTGCACGCTTTACCCCTGAATAATAAAAATTGCACCAAATATCCCTAAACTCTTCAAAAATTGTACTGTTTACTCCTGAACATTTAAATAAAGACGACAATTTTGGGAAAAGGTACTTTGGAAAAATCACAAGGGTCAGATGAATCATATTCGCAATTGTTGTGCGTGCAAGCAACGCACTCCCTATCTAATAGTTTAGGACCAACGATGCAACGATTTAATTTGTTCAAGGGTATTCGGTGCATTTTTTAGTTTGCAGGGGTAAATCGTGCAATTTTCAAGGAGTTTGAGGGTAAACGGTGCAATTTTTATAGTTCAGGGGTAAAACATGCAATTTCTAAAGAGTACGGGGGTAAACAATGCACTTTACTCATTTAAAAAAAGAGTAAATTCTCTAAATAGTCCTTTATAAGTGGAGAGTTTTCATACTTAGTCTATATTTATCAAATATTATGTTCGCGACCCTTATTGATTGGATATTATTCCACATTTAATCTTTGTCTAACGACATTGAGACGAAAAAATGACGGAGGACCAAACGTGAAATAGTAGTCAATTAGTAGAGACTGTCAACACAATATTTGATAAATATGGACTAAATATGGAAAAAAGGAACTATTTTGATAATTTACTCCATCACCAAACATGAAAGAATACCTAGAAATTTGTGTTTTCTCACCCTTATTTCCCTCTCTTCTCTTTTTCCACCCCATCCAAACAATGACTAAAAATGAATTTGTCCAAGTGGATCTTATATGTTAATTTCTTACTCTCTTATTCATTATTATTGTGTGCACTTTTCAATTGTTAGCTACTTCGTTTGAAACAAAGAGAGCTCGTGACTTTATTTGATTTTTACAGTATCTTTTCTTCTTTCTATTGGCCTTTTTTTTTTAAATCTTATTTTTTTTCCCTTGAACTGTACTCCGAGTATCTTTTTCTTGCGGAGGATATACCGTGTAATGGAGTTCACCTTTTTTGGTTCCATATAATTGCGTTACTACGGAAACTTTTTAAATTCAATGGCATTATGATTTGTGTTAGGGCCGGGCATAAACATTAAATATATTTTTGGCTCCCTCTAAAATTATTATTTTTTTCTTTTCCAAGTACTTTATTTAAATCATTACAAGTGGAGTACTACCCAGTCCCTGAATATTTGTTCAGTTTTGATTTTTTTCAATTAATTCTTTTCATCTTTTGACTTATAATTAAGTAAAATTTATATTGTATATTAATTAGATAAAATAATATTTTAAAAATTTTTTATATAATAAATCCAATAAAACAGTTTTTATATTAGCATTTAATATTAATTTTATTTAATTTGAGGTCACAATTTACTAATTTTGACCTAAAAAAGTTTATAAATAAACATTCAACCGAGTGGACAGTGAGATCGAATTTCTTCTTTTGCCTTATTCCATTCATTCATCCATTAAACAAAAATTCTAGGAGTACAATCATTTTTAAAAAAACATTTGTGAGTGATATTTTTATATACATATATGTAGAAAATATCATCTTAAGTTATACTCTCTCCGATTCTTCGCACAAAGGTTTTTTGGGCCGGATGAAAAAAGAATAAGAAAGATTTTGTGGGACGGAGGGAGTATATAGAAATATTTAAAGAGTAGTTCTTGTGGAAAACAGCCAAATTTTAATTAATGATGGTTAAATTTAATAAAATTACAAAAAAAATTAAAGCTAGCAAAACCGAGTACAAATTTAATGTAGGCCTACAAATTTAATAAAATGATGGATAAATATTCTTGAACGTTCTTAGTATACAATTTTTTTTAGTTATAATTCAAATTTCATAAAATAAATTGAGTTAATTATGGTAATATGTATAGGGAAAACTTTTTTCAGACCGAGTAGTATTTAATCTTTTCATTGCCAATCTCTAACGTAAAGTCATCATCGCATTCATTTAACCAAATTATCATGGGAAAAAAAAAGGTAAAATTGAGTTTCTCGCAGTAAGTTGCAGATTTATACGGAGTATGTTTCACTGTCTTGCATTGGAAGGTAATTTTTGGTACTCCATCCAATGTGCAGCCTAAAAAAATTCTTACTTTATTTTTTTTTGAAGGCTATTCTTACTTTATTTATTTCTTAAGAAATAAAAAATCTATTACAGTTATGCCATTGACATTATTAGATTGGGTCATACTGTCAGGTAATGTTTTTCTCATTTGACTTTTTACAGTCTCCAATATTAAACTTTGACCATTAATATATATATTTATATATATATATATCTTACACTAGGAAATCAGGTCCGGCCGAGCAGGCCACCCGGACCGGGCCCAATGTTGTAAGGGGCACAATTTTTTCATATTTTGCATAATATATATACAAATAAATAAACAAAATTATTTATGTTTTATTTTGGATTAATATGAATACATATACCTAAAAAGTATTTTTTTCAAAAAAAACTAAAATTTTATCATCAATAAAAATTAAGAATAATTAGTAATTATACCTTAATATATTAAAATCATTATTTTCTTCTTCTTTTTCTCATTCCAATCAAACAAATTTAAATGTAAAGTGCTACATACACATTGCAGAATATTATATAAAAATACATTACCTACTCTTTACTTTTTTTAAAAAAAATATGACTATTGCCTTACTATTTTAGTTTTATTAGATACTTATTAACTATATTTGATAGTAATAAAAAATAATACAAATAGTAATTGAAAAACTATGACGGCATATGTAAAATGATATTGAATATTAAATGGAAGTGAAAAAACAAAAATATAATATCTAATACTATAATATAAAATATTATTCTTTTAATTATAGTTAACCAAATTAAATCATTGACCCTCGAATTGACCGGTTAAATCTTGACCTACTAGCTCGCCTGATTCGATGTCCGATCCAAATTTCAAGATATTGGTTTGGGAAAGTAAGTAGAGATAAACCTTTTGCTATAATTTTGTATGTGATTTATTTATTTTGTTACATAGTATTATACTATTGTGTTAATGTTTGTTTAAATATAATTAGCTTATACACTTTAATTCGTTAAGATATTAGGAATAAGACCTTTAAGGCCTCTTTTTCTGTCTCGGCCCAGGCCATCGAGTTCTCGGGGACTGCCCTGTATGAAATAACTTATGTTTTAGTTCTATTTAGTATAAATTTCACTTATTTTAATATGTGCCAAGCTGTAGTTAATGGTTGAAAAAGAGTAACGTCATTTTTTGACACCTTGGTTTCTCATTGTAAGAATACT